GAACAAGAACTACGGACTCGGGCTGTCGTCGTACCGTGGTCCGCCATCATTACCTCCATACCCAGCACCAGGCGTAGCAGCCATTCCACCCATCGCCGGAGTTGGCGCATCGAATGCCGCAGGGGTTGGAGCGTCATAGTCTCGTTTGGAGGGACCACCGGGAGTGGGCGCGCTGAAAGCTCCACCGGGGGTGGGGGCACTTTCGGGCCATCCGCCGGGAGTTGGTGCACCAGGGGTCGGAGCAGCGTATGCACCGGGGGTAGGGGCGGAGTAGTTTCCACCAGGTGTCGGGGCATCGTCGAAATCACGCTGGTCTCTACCGGCGGACATGCTGTTCCAGCCGGGAGTACGGCCTCCTGCGTTGGCCCCGCCGGCATTCCAGCCAGGAGTGCGGGATCCAGAGGCAAAGGCGTCGAAGCCGGAGCTAGAGTCGTATGGTGTCTTGGATCCCGAGGTCCAGGACGGGGTGCGGCTGCCAACTCCTCCATATGCGGTGCGGTTTCCTTCGTAGGGGTTCGCGGTACGAGAGCCGTCGTTCTTCCAGGCCGGAGTACGGCCACCACTCACGCCACCCCAAGCGGGAGCTATGTGATGATTAGCATCTTTGTCAATGTTTCCAATATAATATGGATGTACATACTTCTGGCAGAAGCGCCATTCCAAGCAGGTGTTCTAGACGAATCAGCGGCGGCCATCGGTGTTCGACCACCAGCCCACCCATCTCGTCCAGGACCGCCTGAAGAATTGTACGGAATTCGCCCTCCGGGGCCACCACCTCCTCTTCCACGGCCCATGGAGAGGGGCTGTTTGGAAACGGGACTGTAAAAGGTTAGGAGGACTGCGGATCAAACATAAGAGAGGGAGAACATACTCTTTGGGTGTCAGAATGTCACGAGGGATGTGTACGGGTTTGTTAGATGTGTAAAGTTCAACTTGAGCAGAGCTATCGTCTGCGTCGCGGACAATACCGACGAGACCCTTATAACGACCCTTGCGGATAGTCACAGTCTTTCCGATCAGCTGGTCGCGGCCGCGACGAGGTGGTGGCATTGCAGCACCGCCCCCAGGATTTTGCATCGCCAGAGCAGGGTTCATCTTAGTGAGATCCGGTCCAGTGGTCCGACCGCCTCTGGCCGACACGGTAACAACATTCGTTGTCCGCACCACAGCGATACCGGCGTTCTCGGCTTGGGCCTTATTATGCAAGAAAAGGAACGAACGATGAATGTGGCGGATTACTCCACTGCGCTGCTCTCCGTAAACCTCGCGAACGGTATCACCACTTCGAATCTCTGCGCCATTGCGATCAGTAGCCACGGCATCGCGACGGGGGGTAATCTTGTTCGCTATTTGCGTAGGAAGAATGTTGCGGATAGAACCATTCTGATCCACCACACGGAGAGACTCTCGGTCTACTTTGATAACACAAGCGACAGTGGCGGCATCAAGCTGGACGAGATCATGAACATCGTAGATACCGAGTTGTCCATCGGCAGCCATCTCAGCGGAAAGTCGAAGATCCTTGCTGAAAATTGTGATCTCCTGCATACTCATATCGCTGAGCAGAGTGACAGTGTCGTCCTTGACCTGCACAACCATACCCAGTTCGTTCTGGTATCGACTGCCGCCGATAACCTTGACGTGATCACCTTCCCGGAATCGTTTACGGAGAGTTCGAACAGGCGCATCAATTGTCTGACCGGCCAGCTCGCCCTCGGTGACTTGCAATGAAATAATGTCACCTCGAGTTGACACTGTACGACCAATAAGACCCTGCTGTTCACCCCGGTAAACCTCCACTGGATCGCCTGGTTGGTATGAGTCTTCGGCGGTAGAGTTCTTCAGAGTCTCAGCCAGCGAAGCCAGATCCAAGTTGGCAGTTCCGTCTTCTCCTCCACGCGCGAACATTGTAACCTCCTCTAGGCGGGGGTTGACGTTCTTGGCATTCAAGTGCTGGACACGCATATCCTTGATGAGGAACCCATCCACATAGTTGTCGTTCAAGTAGTTCCATGATTTTCCGCCTAAACCAGAAGTAGACGAGAGATATTTTGCGTGCTTCTTTTTCGCCTCTGTCTCACTGAAAAGGCGCTGGGGAGGGCGGGCGGTGTTCACAGCACCGCGTTTGCGCTTAGCATCGGCAGCAGGGGCACCAAAAGCATCGTCATTCATTCCATAGTCCAGTCGGGGAACGAGTCTCACAGTGACATTCAATCCATTGGTTTCGACCTCCTCAATCTGGGCCAAATCGCCGATGTATTTGCCACGCTTGATGCGAATCCAGCCACCAGGCAAAAGTTCTTCCGATTTCTGGACACGAAGAAGATCTGGCATCTCCTTCACTGGAACTAGAGTCAGTTTCTGGGATGGGTAGTAGAAGTTGATAGCCTCCAAGCCTTCGATAACATCGGCCTGCCTGCGCGCTTCACAGTAGAACCAGCCCTGCATAATGTTTCCGCGCTCGAAAGCCGAGATAATTCGAATGGGGTTGCGGGAGCCTGCTGGACGCTCTTCAATTCGTTTCTGGATTGAATATACGACCTCCTTCTCCTTGCCGGGCTTGCAGCGGCCACCCCAAATACTGGGGTCTTCCACACTAGGAAGCAGGAGTCGTTTTGGGACTACAAGGGAATCTGTTGCGGCAGCACGGTTGCGTCCATATCGTTCCTTGAGCATCTGGGCCTGCTTCTCTGCGTCCATGCTGGCGTCAATCTCGCGCTGGCGATCCAACTGTCGATGGCGGCGGTCGTCCGTCTCGGTGCCTTGGGGCAGCGCATCAAGATCATCCGGATGTGTTTCCATGCCATATTCGGCGAGTTCATCTTCCTCGTCATCGGCCTCGTCCTCCTCGTCATCGACACCGGCCTCATCTTCGATGAAAGGATTGGCAGCGCGCTTCATTCGCTTTTGTGGACGCGCCTGAAATTGAGACTATGGGTTAATAAAGTGCTCGTGAACTACCAGGTCTGCATGGAGAACATACCACATCCTCTTCCTCGTCATCCTCCTCCTCCTCGTCTTCGTCGTCCAACTCATTCTCCTCGTCGTCGTCTTCGACATCCTTGGCATCTTCCTCGTCATGTGCCTGTGTGTTGCGAGGGTACTTCACATCATCATCATCATCCTCATCGGCACCATCGCCACCGGCGTGTTCTCTCTTGGCTGGCTGTTTCGCACTCACTTGTTAGCGCTTTATCCATTGGGGCTTGGCAGAAATCTGTAGACCGACCTTGGCTCTAGGCTCCTCTGCATCAGACTCTTCTTGGGGAGCAGGGTTGAAGTCATCCTCCTCGTCCTCGGACCCAAAGTCTTGGTTGAGAAAGTTTGACATTTTGGTAGATAGTGTCTAACGCGCTATTGTAGATGATCCGGTCGCCACTTTCGGCAAGTCGTAATCTGCAGTTGAAATACAGTGAGATTTCTATCAATCACAAGGAGAATCAGCAACTAAAACGACAAAGAGAACATGGGAGAAGCAAGACAAACCGTATCCAAGGAAACCGCGCTACAACTTGCGGTTTGGGAGACAAGACGTAGACAACAAGATGCGAACTGTCCGGTATGTCCCGATGGACAGGCAATTCCGAATAGGGTCAAGTGAAATGAAGCTGATCCAGATGAGAGAAAAGCGACTGGAAAGATAAGAGGGAGCACAGCAGACAGTCGAGCTCTGCGGGCAATCACCGAGTTCCGCGACCGCCTACAAAGAACACGGATCGCAATGAAGATCTCGGGGTTAGAAAGAAGAAGCAACCACACCACAATGCAGGCGCAATTTATAGCACTGCTTGTAAGCGGTACTTTGAGAAAGGGCAAATGAGGATTTGGAGTGACGGAGCGTGGAGGTCGTGTTGCTCAGAGGCATAATCCTTGCGTAAGCGGTTGCTGTGGGGCGCCGTACTTGGCTTCGCCGCCTTTGAGCCTGGCGTGTCTCAACTTCCATCGTTTACGAAGACCTCTTAAGCTTAAAGAACATACATTATACCACTGGGTTAATGAAGAGGCTATGATTATTCTATTTCCATCTAGATACGCCAATATATATATATTATTTTCACCCGTTTACGAATTTGAAATGCAAACCTTACCAGGTGTACGAGGTGAAGTAGGTTGATTGGAGAACCAGGACGAACTACAATATCCTCGCAACTACACTGGTGCGAGTGAAAACAACAGAGTATACTGCAGAAAATTTGATACATTGGCCCTTGAAACTCCTAATCAGAATCATCCCCAACATCCGAACTTAAATCTTTCACCAGGAAATTCAGCCTAAGAATTGTACAGTACTGAATGAGCCAATTCCGCTGTTCAGACGGCCCCCATGTATCCCAGAACGGCTCGAGTCTGTTATTGAGCGCTCTGATTTTCGCCGAAGTGAGGGAGCGCAGAAGAGCCATCTGTTGGGCTCTCTCACGGCCCGGCTCCTTATGATCTTCCAACCTTTGGTACATATCTCGATAATTCTTGATAATCAACCAATACAACCCCTTGATGATAGAAATGTCCAAGTAAAATTTATGATCGACATGGCGCAAAATCTTTTTGAAAATGATATCGCAATGTGGCCGCAGGTTGTGAGCTGCTACTTGTAACGCATAAGCACCTGTGGTCTCATCACCCTCGGTATCCTGGGAACTCCGGACCCGTCCCGCCATGGGATCACAGTGTTGACAGAACCAATCAATGCCTGCTGGCTCGCCTCCTCTTGCTCCTGCCACCAAAGCAGTCTCACCGGTGTCACGGTCAAAGTCCGTCCGACACCCTGGCTGGGAATACGAGTGATCTAATAGCCAGTCGAGGATTCGTGGGCCTTGGGGGTTCTCAATTGCCCGGTGCCAGATGGTTCGAGAGGTGGGATGGAGCTCGATGGGATTGACTCCAATAGTATCATATGGAATCGATTTTGCGTCGAGCTTGTCATTTTCCAGGTCGAAGTCTTCTCCCCGAATGATAGGATCACCATATTCTGCATCGCGGTTCCACTCCTTGCCAGAGTCTTACTCGGAGTCATCCTCGTCGGGCAGATACATTGGAAGTGTATTTCTCGGGAGCTTGGTGATATTGAACCCCTTCGACAGGAACCGTTCGGCCATGTCAGCAGTGATGAAGCTGCATAGTTCGAGCTTGAGGCCATCGTCGTTCCACACAGATAGAGGATAGCCTGCATCTTCTAGAAACTCGGTGACTCCCCTAAAGACGTCGTTGTCATGCATCAAAGCGACGTGGTGGGGAATAGACATTCCATCGATAGACGTAGGAAAGTGCCGAGGATCCAAGTCTCCTTTCAGCAAGATAGCGACAATGAACATCACACTTTCGGCATCTCCACCCTCAATAGCTGCATGGAGGAAGCTCCTGCCATTTTGGTCGTAGTTCCTGAAATCAATCAACTCAAGATTGCCGAGAAGTGAGAGACAGCTTGTACATTGACATTCTTTCACGAATTCATACGCATAGTCAAACCCCAAACCTCCTCTGCTAGCTTTGTAAGCTGCAATCTCGTCTCTGCATTGGTACGCGGGTTTGAAGCTGTAGTAATTCATCCATGGCTTGAAAACTTGTTCAAGTGTGCTTTGAGCCGGTTCAGATCTCAACCATGTTTCCACATGCTCACGGTGCATTGGTGATGCTTCAGCAAATTCATGTAGAGCATGAAGGTCCCCGGGTGTTGGAAGTTTTGTATCAACATGCAGCAGCATAGGGAGAACCAGAACCAACAGATTTTCAGGCATGGTCGTAAGATCCATGGAATAGGCTATGCTCCGTAGGAATTCGTGGCTAACTTCATCAGTATCATTTGAGCTAAGACTTGACAGGAGATCTGTTGGAGCAGTCCCAGAGCCGGTAAAATCGTCTTCGTTCTCTTGGAATTCGCGCATTCGTCGTGCCACTAGATTGGCAAGTATGAGCGATGTGGCGGAATGCTCATCAGATACAACTTGAATCATTCCATCGATGTCACTTGCAATATCATATGCATCATCGTTCATGTCAAATGATCGTAGAGACATCGCCAACGGTTGGCAAATGACCTTCAAAGGGAATGCGTGGGCACAAATAACTTGCCTCGAGAGCCCTAAATAGGCAGACGGGCAGCTCTCGATGTTATATTTCTGCATCGAATTCCTGGCTTTTGACTCGAAAGGAAGCCAGCTCACTACTTTTACCTAATAATGGATTGGCATCAAAGGACTTCGAACACAATCCCAACGGTTCTCAGGGTTTTTCTGATCATGGCTTGAATCCTATCAAAGAAAATGAGAATAAAGGAGTGAGATCGAAGGAAGTTCGGTGGGCGGAAAATGAAACTTGGGCTCTCGAGAATAGTTGAGTCGTCTGAACAAAGAAGGGATTTCGGGACATGAGACCTTGACATTTCCTATTTCTTTGAGGGATTCTTTGATGTTTTTCGTTATCAGGCATGGCCATGGGTCTTCTTGCCAACGTAATGGGCAGCTAATATCGTAAACTATAGAGACACCGGGAGTTTGGTTATGAATGAGAATCAGTTATGTGCAGCGAATACCCAATAAGACGGCGACGTCCACCGTAAATCGTGAAATATACAAAACTAAGCCAATGTAATGTTATCGTACAAGGCAGATCATAGCAAAATAAAATAAATGTCGTCACAGACAACAGGATATCTAACCAAAAGCAGCAACGGGAAATGAATCAAAATGGGCATGCTCTACCGCCGTAATCGACATCACCCAGAAAATGCTTTATAGCTTCATGCCAAACATACCGTGAACACGCAAGCTCTGGCGCATACTCAAGTCAAGCATAATCTCCTCACTACCACCGGGGATAGCATAGGCACGCACATCACGGTACAGTCTCTCGATCTTAGCGCCCTGACCACCTCGGCTATAACTCAAACCACCGAAGATCTGACTAGCCTCGCGAGCACAGAACTCAAAGCACTGGGTAGACTGCGCCTTCAATCCAGCGATGGCACCGCCGAGCTTAAGCATAGCCTCAGTATCCTCCATGGACTGGCACTGGAAGATGATGTTCTCGAGCCAGTTGTAGGTGGCCTCGATCTGGCGAGCCATGTGCGCAAGTTTCATGCGAATAACTGGGTGGTCGATAAGACGCTTGCCAAAGGTCTTGCGCTTGTGTGCGTACTTCATAGACTCCTCGTAGCAGACGCGGGAGAAGCGCACACACTGAATCACAATGCCGATGCGCTCATGGTTGAAGTTGGTCATGATAACCTTGAAGCCCTGGTTCTCCTTGCCGATTAAGTTCTCCACGGGCACCTTGACGTCCTCGAAGGTGACGTAAGTAGTGCCGCTAGACCACACACCCTGGCAGTCCATGCGGCGAGTGCTGACGCCGCCAGCTTCGCGCTCGATGAGTAGCACGCTGAGGCCGTTCATACCGTCCTTGCCGGTGCGCACGGCGGTCGTGAAGTAATCGGAGTAGATACCGTTAGTGATCCACTTCTTCTCGCCGTTGACGATGTAGTGCTTGCCATCCTCAGTGAGTTTAGCCTCACAACCCAAGTTTGCGACGTCACTGCCCGCATCGGGCTCGGTAATGGCTAGGCAGATGCGCTTCTCGCCAGCCAAGATACCCGGCAGGATGCGATCGACCAGCGGCTTCTTGCCGAACTTTACCAAGGGCGGGCAGCCAATTCCGTAGCCACCGATCAGGTTCCACACCAGACCACCGCTGCCGGCACGCGACAGCTCGTCGGTCAGCAGCATCTCGTGAAACAGATCCCAGCGATCTGGCGACACAGACTTCACGCGATACGGGGTGTGCTTCTCGGGGAAGTGGACGCCCAGCAGTCCGGCCAGGTAGCCACGCTCACCCATCTGTTTGTAAATGTGACTGGGCACTTCCTTGGCCTCGTCCCATTCGGTCACATATGGCTCGATTTCGGACTCGACCCACTGGCGGACCTCATCTCGCAGTGCGGCGTGGGATTCATTAAAGTAAGGGGATGCATACTATGAGCGATATATATGTTAGCTTCTGCGCAACCGTAAACCCACATGTGACAGATAGCAATTTGCGAAACTTACACCTTGGTACCATGAAGGATCGGCGAAAGGAATCAACTCTCCGTAAGGGTCCTGGGGCTCGCCGGTGGCAGGTGGTGTCACGGAAGATGAAGAGGCGGTGGGCGTCGGCTCGGGGGCAGCCTTTTTCGGGGCTGGCGCTGGTGCCGGGGGTGCCGGGGCCGCTTTCTTCGTATCCAACGAACCGATCTGCAGTTGAGCCTTGTACTTCTTCAAAATGCCCTCGTTGTGGTACTTCCAGAACTGTTTTGAAGCGTCCTTTCCGGCAACTCGTTGGAGAACTAAACATGCACTGTCAATATGGATTTATTGGGCGTAGCGGATACTCTCGGGTCAACGTACTCTTCTTTCCACCTGTTCAAAAAAAGAAATTTTAGCATGTGATCCCCATGTATCTGCACACCTGACTTCACTTACCAGGGTGCTCATCTTGGAACTTGGAAACATCGTAGACGTCTTCGTCGATGATGACCCAGGGACTGTCGCCCTTACTATGCGAGGCGACGTCCTCTTTGCTAAATGTCTTTGCCATGGTGGCGATGGGTGAAGAGTAAGGAATGAAGGGAAAATGCGCACAACAAAGATTTATATTATGGCCAAAGAATAGTAGTAAGAGAGAAGAAAATTTCAAGTCCGGGGAAGCTGGGGAATATATGAGTTATGGGGCAAGGAACAATTTCCGCTAAGTTCGGGTGATATTCCAAGTCTGGGTGTGAAGATGCACCAAAAGGGGCCTCGGAGCATCATAGTACCAGTTCACATGCTCCCACACAACATAGACCTTGGGACCTGAGAAACATACGTTGTAGGGGTCGGTGCTTTATTGGCTGCTGATCATCTCGGTCATCGCCGTTCACAGACAGTTTATTGGCTCATGCTGCGTCATAATATGAATGCCGAGGCACAACAGCCCTCCCCAGGTCAACGACGGGTCAGTGGATTGCTGAGTCAGAAATACTGGCCGTGCCCCGGGGTAAGGCCGAGACATGTGAACATGTGAATATAAGTATCGGCCGGTTTGCGATTGGATTATATTCCAGATTGGCTACAATTCTGAGATATCTTAATACAGTTGTATAAAGTGTAAAGTGTAACTCTCATATAGAAGAATAAGCCCTTTGAATAATTAGGCTGGCTCGTGGTTTCATGATGTACCTCTAGTACGCATGTGTATGTCCTACATCCGAAACCCTTGTATCAAGGCGGTCTAACCGGCGTGTTCAAATCAAGACAAGCCGGCAGTGGCCCTTCCGACGAGTGCATATAATACGAAAAGAATGCGAGGTAATTTAAACATAGGAACTTTCATATCAATCACAGTGACGGAAAGCCATACTAGCCCCCCCAAATAGATCACGTCGGCGTAGACAGCCTGATTAGTCTAGTAATACATCCAGCATCAAGATTCTATGCCGCATCAGCCCTCTACTGCTCTTCCCCGTCTGACTCATATAAGAACTCGTCAGGGACGGGCGCATCCTCCACGCCTTCTTCGTCCTCATCCACCGCAGTCAGAACACCGGCACCAGCCGCAGCACCACCTGAGGTGGCAGCAGATAGGGCAGCCCGAGCATCAGCCCGTTGAGGGGTCTGCAGAGCAGCAGTTCCAATGGCGGCCTGCAGGCGGTCCTGGAGGGTTTCGGTCGGAGGAGGCGCTTGGCGAGCCTCTTTGCTGGCCTTCAATTCAATAACCTCGCGAGGCTCGTCGGGCTGCTTGTCGAGAACAACGACGACACCGCCGGTGGGCTGCAATTATGTTAGCATTGGATTCATTGGGACAAATAGGAATGAACATACCCTCTTGACCGGCTCGTACCGCGGATCGGGGAAAGTGAGGTACTTGAGCTGAGCTGGAAGTACCCTTGACAAGTTATCCAGCTCGTACCCGACCTTCTCCCGCTCGGCCTTCTTCTTCTGTACCTCGGCAGCACCCTTTTCTGTCTCCTTGGCTTCTTCCTCCTCCTTAGCAACATCGTCTGTGTCCATTGCGTCCAGCTGATCGGTAGCCTTAGGTGTTGTGGGCGCTTGGTCAATGTCCATGCTCTCACGGCGTGCTTGCTTCTCCCGACGCTGCGCGCGACGCTTGGCCTGGGCAGTGGTGGAAAGAACGGCAGTCTTCACCTTCTCCGGTGCCTCCTCGGTCTTCACCTGTTGCTCAGGGGGGTAGTCGAAGAGGCTGGGGCGGGTGTTGCTGTGGAACTTGAAGTGTGGCACTTCGAGTTTCTGGTCGACACCGATCACGGATGTGGGGGTGAAGCTAAGCGACAAGAAGTGTGTGAGAGGGAACCAGTACCAGTACTGCACGAAGACCGCAACACCAACGATACCGGGCATATTGAGGTTACCCGTCTGCGTCTGCAAGCTAATAGTGCAGTTTCGGCCGCCAGCATCAATGATACCGAGAGCAATGGCACAACCGAACTTAGCCATAGCATCCTCGTGACGGTCACCAAGCATCTTCATCATGGCCTTGCGGAGGCTGGTAACACGGGGGTTCATGGCCTCGTTCTGTTGGACGAGGACCATAGCAAGGGAGATCAAAGCACCCTGACGAACAAAGTCGGTCGAGTCCTTAAGCATAGGCTCGAGGAGGTCGATGGCCTCGTCCAAGCCGGTACCGGCGCAGGAGATACCGAGTGCCATGGCGGCACCGTATCGGACGTGAGGGTTGTATGACTCGGAAAGCAGCTCGACCATGCGAGGAACACTCTGGTGCTTGCGGAACAAAATGAATCCCAAACTGAGCACCGCAACTCGGCGCACATCGTCGTTGACATCACTGACAGCGACGTGCAGAAGCTTGCGAACTGCCTTGTTGCTGCCAGTGCCACAGTAAGCCAGGGCAATGGTCATGATACCACCGTAGCGCAGAGTTGGGTCGGGGTCGCCGAGGAGACCATTGATGAGCTCGTCTGCAGCTTCCTGGCGTCCGAACATGATCAAAGCCATACCCATAGCCAGACCACGAACGATCTTCT